ATGCTGCGGAGGAAGGCGAAAAACCTCCAGGGCCTCTGCCAATCTACCCTGGAGGAAAATTCCTTCCCGACCCCAAACATGGCGATCAGCTGAACCCCGAGCATGCGGGCAAGATTCTCTAGCCAGACCCTCTGGAAAAAGTTCTCTGTAGTAACTTTTAATATCCCATCATTGACCATTGTTGCTAATTACCAGCGATGGCACGTTATTGACCTATTGACTAAAATCACTGTATCCCATCAAACCATCCCCTCCATAAACTTATCAAGCCTAATCTTAAAGCCAGAGAGGTCTTTCGCCCCCACTGTTTCCCTCGGAAGGCTGTTCCAAAACTTCACCCCTCTGATGGTTAGAAACCTTCATCTAATTTCAAGCCTAAACTTCCCGACGGCCAGTTTATATCCATTCGTTCTCGTGTCCACATTAGTACTGAGCTGAAATAATTCCTCTCCCTCTCTGGTATTTATCCCTCTGATATATTTAAAGAGAGCAATCATATCCCACCTCAGCCTTCTTTTGGTTAAGGTAAATAAACCGAGCTCCTCGGGTCTCCTTTCATACGACACATTCCTCGGATCATCCTAGTGGCCCTCCTCTGTACCCGTTCCAGTTTGATTTCATCCTTTTTAAACATGGGAGACCAGAACTGCACACAGTACTCCAAATGAGGTCTCACCAGTGCCTTGTATAACGGAGCCAGCACCTCCTTATCCCTACTAGAAATACCTCGCCTAATGCATCCCAAGAGCGCATTAGCTTTTTTCATGGCCACGTCACATTGCCGACTCATAGTCATCCTGCGATCAACCAGGACTCCGAGGTCCTTCTGCTCTTCCGTTACTTCCAACCGATGCATCCCTAGCTTATAACTAAAATTCTTGTTATTTATCCCTAAGTGCATAACCTTACACTTCTCACTATTAAATTTCATCCTATTACTATTACTCCAGTTTATCCCTGCAGGATATCCCGATCCTTCTCCGAATTGGCAATACCGCCCAACTTTGTGTCATCCGCAAACTTTATCAGCCCACTCCCACATTTGGTTCCGAGGTCATAAAACAACTGTTACCCACCCACCCCCATCAGCAGATATTAAATCACTTGGATTCAATTTGTAACTAAAAGAATAGTCAATAATGCTAGAGTATTTGCCCAGCATAATGAAATTTTCTTCTCCCTATGTGGCATGGAGACACCATAATGACTGCCAGTGTAGGAGTATGGCTAGAGAACGGGCGGGGAGGCATTGCTGGAATGTTTTTGCATCTACAGCTTCTAGAAGACTCTTGTGATGTGAGGTAAATTTAAAGCCATCTGCAGGCTGTTCTACCACATGAAGGGAACTGTACTGATACCTAGCAGTTCCAGGACTGGGGCCACCTTGGCCACCTCTGTGTTTTGTGCTGATTGCTCCTTGTTGCACCACAGAGTCTGGCCCAATCACAGAAGATTAGGGTTGGAAGAGACCTCAGGAGGTCATGTAGGCCAACCCTCGGCTCAAAGCAGGACCAACACCAACTAAATCATCCCAGCCAGGGCTTTGTCAAGCCGGGCCTTAAAAACCTCTAAGGATGGAGATTCCACCACCTCCCACTGGTAACCCATTCCAGTGCTTCACCACCCTCCTAGTGAAATAGTGTTTCCTCATATCCAACCTAGACCTCCCCCACTGCAACTTGAGACCATTGGTCTTTTTTCTGTCCTCTGCCACCAGTGAGAACAGCTGAGCTCCATCCTCTTTGGAACCTCCCTTCAGGTAGTTGAAGGCTGCTATCGAATCCCCCCCTCAGCCTCTCCTCGTAAGTCATATGCCCCAGCACCTTGATCATTTTCATTGCCCTCCGCTGGACTCTCTCCAATTTGTCCACATCCTTTCTGTCGTGGGGGGCCCAAAACTGGATGCAATATTCCAGATGTGGCCTCACCAGTGCCGAATAGAGGGGAATAATCACTTCTCTCGATTAGCTGGCAACGCTCCTACTAATGCAGCCCAATATGCCGTTAGCCTTCTTGGCAACAAGGGCACACTGCTGATTCGTATCCAGTTTCTCATCCACTGTAATCCCCAGGTCCTCTTCTGTAGAACTGCTGCTTAGCCAGTCAGTCCCCAGACTGTAGCAGTGCATGGGATTCTTTCGTCCTAAGGCAGGACTCTGCACTTGTCCTTATTGAACCTCATCAGTTTCCTTTTGGCCCAATCCTCCAATTTGTCCAGGTCACTCTGGACCCTATCCCTACCCTCCAGCATATCTACCTCTTCCCCCAGCTTAGTGTCATCCGCGAACAATGTGTGTTTATGTAAAACGATACCCAACTGTGCCGCTTAGAGTGTATTATTACCCGACCTTTTGGTCTCCTTGTGGGTTAGCATAAGCAGGCAGAATCCCTGGAATGATGACACAGTCACAAACTCAGTAACAATAAAATGTGTGTTTTAGTATTGAAAAAGCGAACAAAAGCAGCTCCCTTCTGGCTTCTGGTGCTACTGACTTCAAGCCCTTTTTCTTTCCCCGTCAGGAAGCATACTCTCTGACTGTGCTGTCAGGGGTCCTTCCCTTCCCTTCTGGGAGGAGCCACACCCTGTATAGGCTGTCTGTGCACATGCCACACACACAGACCCAGCCAGAACATACTGTATTATGTTTAACAGCAGTATTTTAAAGATGAACCACAAAGCTAAAATTGTTTTTGCCCTTTACTGCTCTTTTATGGTGTATAAAGACAGCCGCAAATATTTTTGAAAAAAAGTTTTCTCCTTTGTAACATTTCAAAGATATTTCTAACTTTTTACCCTGACTGCATCAGTTGTAAGATGCTTCCAGCTCAGAGAATAAGGTCAGAGTTAAAACTGGGTCAGGACTGTACATTGACTAAATGTGCTATCGGGAGAAAGCTAGGGATACTATTGCCTAAAGCTATTGTATAAATAATAGAAGTATTTTCTCTCTTTATCAAGAAGACTGGTGTTTAAAATAAAGAAGAAAGTTAGTAAAAAGCATTAAGGAAAACAAAAATGAATTATAAACCTAAAGAAGTGACTCTGCAATGGTTCCTGGCCATCTGTCACAGTTATTGATACAATACATATTTTGTCATGTAATTGGAACCCTTCAATCCTAATGATATTAGTTGTTGCTGAAATATCAGTCTTTTAGTTGTCACTTTTCTTAAGATATTCGAACAAGGGGCTAGTATGGGAATTTTTAAACATCTATGAAGTACTATGTTGAGACATGTCCATTCCTTCTAGAAAATGAGATTGAGACCATCAAGTTGTTTCACTTAGGGGTACAAACTCTTCCAGTAGTAACTACTGAGCTCTGCTGAATGTGAACCAGCACTAAGGCACTGCATTCCCTAACCAATCCTCTGA